TTGGTTTATAAATATAGCGCATTAAACATCATTAAGGCCGCCTGTCCTGCTGAGTTATAATTACTCCAGAAGATGAAGCAGGAGAGAGCCGAGTGTTCACCTTCAGATCTCTCGACACCGCTGTTCATTTATTCATTTTCCCTGTTCCCGCTGTAATCAATCATCGCTGAGTGACGGACGCTTGTCCACGGCCTCCCGTTGAGCCGAGAGACTCTCGGGACGGACGACATAACGGATCTCTAATGAGATCAAAGTAGCGCAGATCAATGGCAGATCCCTGCAAATGGTAAATGAAAAGCTGATATTTCATAGCAGCTGCTGTGCTGGTTATAAAACACACTCAAAGGAAGTTGGAAGTATTGCTTCTCTGACCAGATTGAATTGGGTTTTTTCTTTACTATCCCCCTGTGGTTTCACCCTCATGTATCTACGCCCTAATCGCAGCTTTTCCGCAGACGGGCCTGTTTTTCCAGCTAGTTTATCAATGTTTACATCCAGAGCTGCGCTGGCGATAAGAGATCAGCACATGTAGGTCATCGCTGAGAAAAGAGATAACATTTATGAAAAGTTAGTGTGGTTCTCTCGGTGTGGTTCTTTAGTTTCTGTATTGGCATCGATGGTTCCATGAAGAATCTTTATCATCCACAGCATATTTCCATTGCACAAAAGGTTCTTTATAACAGAAAAGGGTTCTTTAGATTATTAAAAAGCTATTTACACTGAGCAAAAAAATGGCAGTTTTAAGAACAGATCACTAAAAGGTTCTTTGGACAGGTGTTTGATGGGTGGAGTTTAGTTCTCTGGTGTTTATGTGTGTAGTTGGAGGTGTTTGATGGGTGGAGTTTAGATCTCTGGTGTTTATGTGTGTAGTTGGAGGTGTTTGATGGGTGGAGTTTAGTTCTCTGGTGTTTATGTGTGTAGTTGAAGGTATTTGATGGGTGGAGTTTAGATCTCTGATGTTTATGTGTGTAGTTGGAGGTGTTTGATGGGTGGAGTTTAGTTCTCTTGTGTTTATGTGTGTAGTTGAAGGTGTTTGATGGGTGGAGTTTAGATCTCTGGTGTTTATGTGTGTAGTTGAAGGTGTTTGATGGGTGGAGTTTAAATCTCTGGTGTTTATGTGTGTAGTTGGAGGTGTTTGATGGGTGGAGTTTAGATCTCTGGTGTTTATGTGTGTAGTTGAAGGTGTTTGATGGGTGGAGTTTAGATCTCTGGTGTTTATGTGTGTAGTTGGAGGTGTTTGATGGGTGGAGTTTAGATCTCTGGTGTTTATGTGTGTAGTTGGAGGTGTTTGATGGGTGGAGTTTAGATCTCTGGTGTTTATGTGTGTAGTTGAAGGTGTTTGATGGGTGGAGTTTAGATCTCTGGTGTTTATGTGTGTAGTTGAAGGTGTTTCATGGGTGGAGTTTAGATCTCTGATGTTTATGTGTGTAGTTGGAGGTGTTTGATGGGTGGAGTTTAGTTCTCTTGTGTTTATGTGTGTAGTTGAAGGTGTTTGATGGGTGGAGTTTAGATCTCTGGTGTTTATGTGTGTAGTTGAAGGTGTTTGATGGGTGGAGTTTAGATCTCTGGTGTTTATGTGTGTTGTTAAAGGTGTTTGATGGGTGGAGTTTAGATCTCTGGTGTTTATGTGTGTAGTTGAAGGTGTTTGATGGGTGGAGTTTAGATCTCTGGTGTTTATGTGTGTAGTTAAAGGTGTTTGATGGGTGGAGTTTAGATCTCTGGTGTTTATGTGTGTAGTTGAAGGTGTTTGATGGGTGGAGTTTAGTTCTCTGGTGTTTATGTGTGTAGTTGAAGGTGTTTGATGGGTGGAGTTTAGATCTCTGGTGTTTATGTGTGTAGTTGAAGGTGTTTGATGGGTGGAGTTTAGATCTCTGATGTTTATGTGTGTAGTTGGAGGTGTTTGATGGGTGGAGTTTAGTTCTCTTGTGTTTATGTGTGTAGTTGAAGGTGTTTGATGGGTGGAGTTTAGATATCTGGTGTTTGTGTGTAGTTGAAGGTGTTTGATGGGTGGAGTTTAGATATCTGGTGTTTATGTGTGTAGTTGAAGGTGTTTGATGGGTGGAGTTTAGTTCTCTGGTGTTTATGTGTGTAGTTGAAGGTGTTTGATGGGTGGAGTTTAGTTATCTTATGTTTATGTGTGTAGTTGAAGGTGTTTGATGGGTGGAGTTTAGATCTCTGGTGTTTTTGTGTGTAGATTAAGGTGTTTGATGGGTGGAGTTTAGATCTCTGGTGTTTATGTGTGTAGTTGGAGGTGTTTGATGGGTGGAGTTTAGTTATCTTGTGTTTATGTGTGTAGTTGAAGGTGTTTGATGGGTGGAGTTTAGATCTCTGGTGTTTATGTGTGTAGTTGAAGGTGTTTGATGGGTGGAGTTTAGATCTCTGGTGTTTATGTGTGTAGTTGAAGGTGTTTGATGGGTGGAGTTTAGATCTCTGGTGTTTATGTGTGTAGTTGAAGGTGTTTGATGGGTGGAGTTTAGTTCTCTGGTGTTTATGTGTGTAGTTGAAGGTGTTTGATGGGTGGAGTTTAGTTCTCTGGTGTTTATGTGTGTTTTTAAAGGTGTTTGATGGGTGGAGTTTAGATCTCTGATGTTTATGTGTGTAGTTGGAGGTGTTTGATGGGTGGAGTTTAGTTCTCTGGTGTTTATGTGTGTAGTTGAAGGTGTTTGATGGGTGGAGTTTAGATCTCTGATGTTTATGTGTGTAGTTGAAGGTGTTTGATGGTTGGAGTTTAGATCTCTGGTGTTTATGTGTGTAGTTGAAGGTGTTTGATGGGTGGAGTTTAGTTATCTTATGTTTATGTGTGTAGTTGAAGGTGTTTGATGGGTGGAGTTTAGATCTCTGGTGTTTATGTGTGTAGTTGAAGGTGTTTGATGGGTGGAGTTTAGATCTCTGGTGTTTATGTGTGTAGTTGAAGGTGTTTGATGGGTGGAGTTTAGTTCTCTTGTGTTTAAATGTGTGTAGTTGAAGGTGTTTGATGGGTGGAGTTTAGATCTCTGGTGTTTATGTGTGTAGTTGAAGGTGTTTGATGGGTGGAGTTTAGATCTCTGGTGTTTATGTGTGTAGTTGAAGGTGTTTGATGGGTGGAGTTTAGATCTCTGGTGTTTATGTGTGTACTTGAAGGTGTTTGATGGCTGGAGTTTAGATCTCTGGTGTTTATGTGTGTAGTTGAAGGTGTTTGATGGGTGGAGTTTAGATCTCTGGTGTTTATGTGTGCATTTGAAGGTGTTTGATGGGTGGAGTTTTGATCTCTGGTGTTTATGTGTGTAGTTGAAGGTGTTTGATGGGTGGAGTTTAGATATCTGGTGTTTATGTGTGTAGTTGAAGGTGTTTGATGGGTGGAGTTTAGATCTCTGGTGTTTATGTGTGTAGTTGAAGGTGTTTGATGGCTGGAGTTTAGATCTCTGGTGTTTATGTGTGTAGTTGAAGGTGTTTGATGGCTGGAGTTTAGATCTCTGGTGTTTATGTGTGTAGTTGAAGGTGTTTGATGGGTGGAGTTTAGATCTCTGGTGTTTATGTGTGTAGTTGAAGGTGTTTGATGGCTGGAGTTTAGATCTCTGGTGTTTATGTGTGTAGTTGAAGGTGTTTGATGGGTGGAGTTTAGATCTCTGGTGTTTATGTGTGTAGTTGAAGGTGTTTGATGGGTGGAGTTTAGATCTCTGGTGTTTATGTGTGTAGTTGAAGGTGTTTGATGGCTGGAGTTTAGTTCTCTGATGTTTATGTGTGTAGTTGAAGGTGTTTGATGGGTGGAGTTTAGATCTCTGGTGTTTATGTGTGTAGTGAAAGGTGTTTGATGGGTGGAGTTTAGATCTCTGGTGTTTATGTGTGTAGTTGAAGGTGTTTGATGGGTGGAGTTTAGATCTCTGGTGTTTATGTGTGTAGTTGAAGGTGTTTGATGGGTGGAGTTTAGATCTCTGGTGTTTATGTGTGTAGTTGAAGGTGTTTGATGGGTGGAGTTTAGATCTCTGGTGTTTATGTGTGTAGTGGAAGGTGTTTGATGGGTGGAGTTTAGATCTCTGATGTTTATGTGTGTAGTTGAAGGTGTTTGATGGGTGGAGTTTAGATCTCTGGTGTTTATGTGTGTAGTTGAAGGTGTTTGATGGGTGGAGTTTAGATCTCTGGTGTTTATGTGTGTAGTTGAAGGTGTTTGATGGGTGGAGTTTAGATCTCTAGTGTTTATGTGTGTAGTTGAAGGTGTTTGATGGGTGGAGTTTAGATCTCTGGTGTTTATGTGTGTAGTGGAAGGTGTTTGATGGGTGGAGTTTAGATCTCTGATGTTTATGTGTGTAGTTGAAGGTGTTTGATGGGTGGAGTTTAGATCTCTGGTGTTTATGTGTGTAGTTGAAGGTGTTTGATGGGTGGAGTTTAGATCTCTGGTGTTTATGTGTGCATTTGAAGGTGTTTGATGGGTGGAGTTTAGATCTCTGGTGTTTATGTGTGTAGTTGAAGGTGTTTGATGGGTGGAGTTTAGATCTCTGGTGTTTATGTGTGTAGTTGAAGGTGTTTGATGGGTGGAGTTTAGTTCTCTGGTGTTTATGTGTGTAGTTGAAGGTGTTTGATGGGTGGAGTTTAGATCTCTGATGTTTTTGTGTGTAGTTGGAGGTGTTTGATGGGTGGAGTTTAGTTCTCTTGTGTTTATGTGTGTAGTTGAAGGTGTTTGATGGGTGGAGTTTAGATCTCTGGTGTTTATGTGTGTAGTTGAAGGTGTTTGATGGGTGGAGTTTAGATCTCTGATGTTTATGTGTGTAGTTGAAGGTGTTTGATGGGTGGAGTTTAGATCTCTGATGTTTATGTGTGTAGTTGAAGGTGTTTGATGGGTGGAGTTTAGATCTCTGATGTTTATGTGTGTAGTTGGAGGTGTTTGATGGGTGGAGTTTAGTGTCTGACTGAAGCAGCGGCTGCTCGTGGATTCATCGATCAAACTGGACTTTCTCAGAGGAGTTTCTTCATTTCCACAGTGTCTGTTTTCTCACGGAGTTGAAAGATTAGAGGAATAGTTTATGGATAAGTAAGTTTGAATGATGATGATTTTGATGATGTGAATGCGATTATCAGCGGAAGCTCGAGCTCCGGGAGGATGAATGCATTTCTCCGGCTCGGATTCTCATTTCTGCTGCTCTTCTGCGCGCCCGCTTCTACTCAAGGTGAAATATAGAAATATAGATCTTAATTTCTACGTTACGTCGCTCTTATTTTACTGATTTACTGACGCGCATAATCTGTATCTGTTGCATTTCTACAGCTGTCAGTCAAACTTCATGTGTTGGAGTGCGCGTGAGACACGATGCATGACTCCGGACAGATGATTGCTTTTTCGTCAGTAATGTGTGTGTGTGTGTGTGTGTGTGTGTGTTCAGGTCCAGGTTGTGCTGCTGGATGTCATGGACAGCACGGGTTCTGTGAGTCTGGAGAATGCAGGTGAGTGTTGAAAACGTCATTAACATTTTTAGAAACAAATGAAACGCATAGAGATGCTGTCAGTGTGTGAGAGACTTGTCCAGACGCTCATATACAGTCAAGCCACACATTATTCAGACACCAGATATCATTTTTGATATTTTTTTACTAGTGTGTGCAGGACACTATAGTTCATTTATGTAAGTGAGGAGAGCAAAATAAAGTAAACTGTGACATATTACACCCAAATATTCTTCATACAGTGACTACCAGTGACATTTATAATCATTCAGGACCAGAAATGATTCCTCCACTTTGAGCTGATGATGTTTTGCTGAAGTGTGTTTTCTGTAATCGCTAATGCTCTTTTTACACACACACTGAACAACATGAAGCATTGCTTGGTCACTGGTTGAGCTAAACTGGTATTATCTGAATGTGTAGTTAAATTTACCAGCTGACAGATATTCAACATAATTCATGTGTGAGAGTCTAACAGAAGGACGGACAAAACCAGTCAAATATCCACTGAGTTCTGCTCATATTTATTACCATTTTCTAAACTATAGCGAATAAACTGATAATGTGAGAAATGTTGAAGCTGTCTGACAGTCTGAGTAATGTTGGTGTGACTGTATGTCATGGATGCTTTTAAAACCAGTTAAACGTCAGTGGTGGACTCGCAGTGTAAAGGCATGTGTTGGTGTTGTGTGTGTGTGTCTGTGTGTGTGTGTATAGGCAGGTGTTGGTGTGTGTGTGTGTGTGTGTGTGTGTGTGTGTGTGTGTGTGTGTGTGTGTGTGTGTGTGTGTGTGTGTGTGTGTGTGTGTGTGTGTGTGTGTGTGTAAAGGCAGGTGATGTGTGTGTAAAGGCCGGTGTGTGTGTGTTTGTGTGTAAAGGCAGCTGTTGTGTGTGTAAAGGCAGGTGTTGTGTGTGTAAAGGCCAGTGTGTGTGTGATTTACAGGTGTGTGTCCGGTTGGCGCGGGCCGGCGTGTGATCAGTGTGTTCCTCCGCTCGGCTGTGCGCACGGGACCTGTGAGGAACCAGGCCAGTGCATCTGTGAGCGCGGCTGGACGGGAGCGCGCTGTGATCGAGGTCCGAAACACCAGAGGCTTCCTCAGGTTCCAGATCCAATATCTGAACAATCTTAAATCAAGACACGTTTTAAGCTAATTTCTGGAGATAAAATATATATACAGTATATTCACATTTTGTACAGCGCTTTTCACAACACACATCGTTTCTAAGCAGCTTTACAGAAAGTCCACATTACAGTTTACAGAGATCTGTTATCAGAGGACACTGTCTGAGTTATGCAGAAATGTACATATACAAATCACAGTTAGCGAAAAATGTATTAATTTAAACAATGTAATAATTTAATGCAGAAACAATGAGCTCACTGAAGTTATGAATACTTGTTTGTTAACAAATGATTGACATTTAGAAAAATGTAGCATTGGTGCGTGTAGATTCAGAGTTAGCGTCATCTGAAGTCAATATCATATAAATTAAATATGTTTATGCATAAAATAAGAAAAATATTTGCCAGTAATATTTTTTTCTTGTTTTAAGCATAAAATCAATAACTTTTTTGATATTTTTCATAAAACAAGACTTAATATCTTCAGTCATTTTGCTTCTCCAGTAAATGTATCATGATTTAAGAATGTTTAGATATTTGTGCTGGATAACAAGACAATAATTTTTTGTGCAGTGTACTGGACGTTATAAACTCAAATTATATGTCAAATTATATGTTCTACAAATGTTTGGCTGACATTCTCATAAAGTTATTAAAACGTTATTCATGAATGTTCTCTGAATGTTCAAAAGTTTTGCTTGGAACATTCCATTGTTTCATTCTTTTAAACATTATGTGATCGTTACTTTTGAATGTTTTCTAAATGTTATGAAACTAGTATTTAAAAAAGTTAGACGAACGTCCAACTGAAATGTTTCAGTACATTCCATAAATGATGTTTAAATAACCCAGCAAGCAATTTTGCGTTTAAAAAACGTCTAATATCCGTCCACACACAGCCTGACGTCTGGGCTAAAACTGGGCAAAGTCTGGGCGGTCAGTGAAACTTTAATAGACGTCTAAATCATCGCCCGAGAATATACTAGACATCAATTAGTGAAATGAGTGAAGAATGAAACCAAACACCTTGTAATCACTGTTGACTTTGCTTACATGATGGAATATCATACATTTTGCAAGTTATTTTGGCAAAAACAACATGTAACCAAATTCAAGTGTGTTACTCACAGCCGGACTATATCGGGTCTATAGTTCACCGAGACGGAGAAATGATGGATATTGCTGGCTGGGAACATTTTGTGTTAATATTTTGAGAACATTATTAAAGACCAACTAATTGTGCAACTCACGCTTCAGGGTTCAGTCGCAGCAGCAGTGTGTGTGTGTGTGTGTGTGACAGTGGATGTGTTGTTTTCCTCTCAGACGTCCGGCCGTGTTCATCTAAGCCCTGCTCGGGGAACTCCACCTGTGTGGCGATGGAGGGAGGAGGAGGACACGCGTGTGTATGTGCTGGAGACGGGTAACACTGACCACTGTTTGCTCTGTTTAACGTGTGTGGAGTGAAAAGCATGTTTACTGGTCCACAGAAATATTCCTCACATAAACTGCTCTTGATATTCGGGAGCAGACCTAAGATTATCCAGCGCTGGCATTAATCAGTGTTCGCATCGATCGATCTTATTTGACCTTTACAAAAGAAATCAAGAGCAATCCATCAAGTGTGCAACCTTTGGCTGACAAATACAGTCGTCACAAAAAGTCTTAAACATGTCTGAACTTCTCTGCATTAGATGCATAATATAAAGTTCTGTTTATTTCTACTGTGCTTTATACAGTACAGATCGATTCAAAGCAGCTTCAGTAATAAACAGAATCAATGATGGAAACTTCAGTAAATATGAAACTCTACAGAAGACAATACCCAGCAAGCAATTCTGCTTTTTAAAAAACACGTCTAGGATAAAACAAGGCAAAGTTTGGGCTGTCGGTGAAAGTCTAATAGACGTGTAAACCACAGCCCAAGAATAGACTAGCCATCAATTAGATAACATGTCAAAGAAATGAAACCAAACACCTTGTAATCACTGTTGACTTTGCCTACATGATGGAATATCATACATCTCACAAGTTCTTTTGGCAAAAACGACATGTAACCAAATTCTTTTGGTTATTTTGTCTAGAAGTGTGTAACTCATAGCCGGACTATACCGGGTCTATAGTTCACCGAGACGGAGAAATGGCGGATATTGCTGGCTGGGTAGAGTCATTATTCAGATAAAGTTTTGTTCTCATCTCAGTGCGCTCAAATCAATAATATTAATGAATATTAAGTTAAGTGTCTTTCAAACGCCAAATAAACAAGCTCAAACTCTGCCAGGTGACAGAAATAGAATCACATGTTTAGATACTTTGATGTATAATGTAAAGACGAGTGTGAACTGTGGTGGTGCTGAAGCTAAAATAAGCCGAGAGGATTCAGTCTGTCTGAAGCTGTAGCGTGACGTGTGATGATGCGTGTGATGATGTGTGTGACAGGCGTGTGACAGGCGTGTGATGATGCGTGTGATGATGTGTGTGACAGGCGTGTGATGATGCGTGTGATGATGCGTGTGACAGGCGTGTGATGATGCATGTGACAGGTGTGTGATGATGCGTGTGACGGAGGCATGTGACAGGCGTGTGACAGGCGTGTGATGATGCGTGTGATGATGTGTGTGACAGGCGTGTGATGATGTGTGTGACAGGCGTGTGATGATGAGTGTGATGATGCGTGTGACAGGCGTGTGATGATGCGTGTGACAGAGGCGTGTGATGATGCGTGTGACAGGTGTGTGATGATGCGTGTGACAGGCGTGTGATGATGCGTGTGACAGGTGTGTGATGATGCGTGTGACAAAGGCGTGTGATGATGCGTGTGACAGGTGTGTGATGATGCGTGTGACAGGCGTGTGATGATGCGTGTGACAGGTGTGTGATGATGCGTGTGACAAAGGCGTGTGATGATGTGTGTAATGATGCGTGTGATGATGTGTGTGACAGGCGTGTGATGATGTGTGTGACAGGCGTGTGATGATGAGTGTGATGATGCGTGTGACAGGCGTGTGATGATGCGTGTGACAGAGGCGTGTGATGATGCGTGTGACAGGTGTGTGATGATGCGTGTGACAGGTGTGTGATGATGCGTGTGACAAAGGCGTGTGATGATGTGTGTGACAGATGTGTGATGATGCGTGTGACAGAGGCGTGTGATGATGCATGTGATGATGCGTGTGACAGGTGTGTGATGATGCGTGTGACAGGCGTGTGATGATGCGTGTGACAGGTGTGTGATGATGCGTGTGACAGAGGCGTGTGATGATGCGTGTGACAGGTGTGTGATGATGCGTGTGACAGGCGTGTGATGATGCGTGTGACAGGTGTGTGATGATGCGTGTGACAAAGGCGTGTGATGATGTGTGTAATGATGCGTGTGATGATGTGTGTGACAGGCGTGTGATGATGTGTGTGACAGGCGTGTGATGATGAGTGTGATGATGCGTGTGACAGGCGTGTGATGATGCGTGTGACAGAGGCGTGTGATGATGCGTGTGACAGGTGTGTGATGATGCGTGTGACAAAGGCGTGTGATGATGTGTGTGACAGATGTGTGATGATGCGTGTGACAGAGGCGTGTGATGCTGCGTGTGATGATGCGTGTGACAGGTGTGTGATGATGCGTGTGACAGGCGTGTGATGATGCGTGTGACAGGTGTGTGATGATGCGTGTGATGATGCGTGTGACAGGCGTGTGATGATGCATGTGACAGGCGTGTGATGATGCGTGTGACAGGCGTGTGATGATGCGTGTGACAGAGGCGTGTGACAGGTGTGTGATGATGTGTGTGATGATGCGTGTGATGATGCGTGTGATGATGCGTGTGGCAGGCGTGGGATGATGGGTGTGACAGGCGTGTGATGATGCATGTGACAGGTGTGTGATGATGCGTGTGATGATGCGTGTGACAGGCGTGTGATGATGCATGTGACAGGCGTGTGATGATGCGTATGATGATGCGTGTGACAGGCGTGTGATGATGCGTGTGACAGAGGCGTGTGACAGGTGTGTGATGATGCGTGTGACAGAGGCGTGTGACAGGCGTGTGACAGAGGCGTGTGATGATGAGTGTGATGATGCGTGTGACAGATGTGTGATGATGCGTGTGACAGGTGTGTGATGATGCGTGTGACAGGCGTGTGACAGGTGTGTGATGATGAGTGTGATGATGCGTGTGACAGGTGTGTGATGATGTGTGTGATGATGCGTGTGACAGAGGCGTGTGATGATGCGTGTGACAGATGTGTGATGATGCGTGTGACAGAGGTGTGTGATGATGCGTGTGACAGGCGTGTGACAGGTGTGTGATGATGAGTGTGATGATGCGTGTGACAGATGTGTGATGATGCGTGTGACAGGTGTGTGATGATGCGTGTGACAGGCGTGTGACAGGTGTGTGATGATGAGTGTGATGATGCGTGTGACAGGTGTGTGATGATGTGTGTGACAGGTGTGTGATGATGAGTGTGATGATGCGTGTGACAGGTGTGTGATGATGCGTGTGATGATGCGTGTGACAGGTGTGTGATGATGCGTGTGATGATGCGTGTGGCAGGCGTGGGATGATGCGTGTGATGATGCGTGTGACAGGCGTGTGATGATGCATGTGACAGGTGTGTGATGATGCGTGTGATGATGCGTGTGATGATGCGTGTGACAGGCGTGTGATGATGCATGTGACAGGCGTGTGATGATGCGTGTGATGATGCGTGTGACAGGCGTGTGATGATGCATGTGACAGGTGTGTGATGATGCGTGTGACAGAGGCATGTGACAGGTGTGTGATGATGCGTGTGACAGAGGCGTGTGACAGAGGCGTGTGACAGGTGTGTGATGATGTGTGTGACAGGCGTGTGATGATGCGTGTGATGATGCGTGTGACAGGCGTGTGATGATGCGTGTGGCAGGCGTGTGATGATGCATGTGACAGGTGTGTGATGATGCGTGTGACAGAGGCGTGTGATGATGCGTGTGACAGGTGTGTGATGATGCGTGTGACAGAGGCGTGTGACAGATGTGTGATGATGCGTGTGACAGAGGTGTGTGATGATGCGTGTGACAGGCGTGTGACAGGCCTGTGATGATGCGTGTGATGATGCGTGTGACAGGCGTGTGATGATGCGTGTGATGATGCGTGTGACAGGCGTGTGATGATGCATGTGACAGGCGTGTGACAGGCGTGTGATGATGCATGTGACAGGTGTGTGATGATGCGTGTGACAGAGGCGTGTGATGATGCGTGTGACAGGTGTGTGATGATGCGTGTGACAGAGGCGTGTGATGATGCGTGTGACAGAGGCGTGTGATGATGCGTGTGACAGATGTGTGATGATGTGTGTGACAGAGGTGTGTGATGATGCGTGTGACAGAGGTGTGTGATGATGCGTGTGACAGGCGTGTGACAGGTGTGTGATGATGAGTGTGATGATGCGTGTGACAGATGTGTGATGATGCGTGTGACAGGTGTGTGATGATGCGTGTGACAGGCGTGTGACAGGTGTGTGATGATGCGTGTGACAGGTGTGTGATGATGTGTGTGACAGGCGTGTAAAAGGTGTGTGATGATGAGTGTGATGATGCGTGTGACAGGTGTGTGATGATGCGTGTGATGATGCGTGTGTGATGATGTGTGTGACAGGCGTGTGACAGGTGTGTGATGATGAGTGTGATGATGCGTGTGACAGGCGTGTGATGATGCGTGTGACAGAGGCGTGTGATGATGCATGTGACAGGCGTGTGATGATGCGTGTGATGATGTGTGTGACAGGCGTGTGATGATGCGTGTGACAGGCGTGTGATGATGCGTGTGACAGGCGTGTGATGATGCGTGTGACAGGCGTGTGATGATGCGTGTGACAGGCGTGTGATGATGCATGTGACAGGCGTGTGATGATGCGTGTGACAGGCGTGTGATGATGCGTGTGACAGGCGTGTGATGATGCGTGTGACAGAGGCGTGTGATGATGCATGTGACAGGCGTGTGATGATGCGTGTGACAGGCGTGTGACAGAGGCGTGTGATGATGCGTGTGATGATGTGTGTGACAGGCGTGTGATGATGCGTGTGACAGAGGCGTGTGATGATGCGTGTGACAGAGGTGTGTGATGATGCGTGTGACAGAGGTGTGATGATGCGTGTGACAGGTGTGTGACAGAGGCGTGTGATGATGCGTGTGACAGGCGTGTGACAGAGGCGTGTGATGATGCGTGTGATGATGCGTGTGACAGGCGTGTGACAGAGGCGTGTGATGATGCGTGTGATGATGCGTGTGACAGGCGTGTGACAGAGGCGTGTGATGATGCATGTGTCAGGCGTGTGACAGAGGCGTGTGATGATGCGTGTCCTGTGGTCCGCAGCTCCCGCTGTCAGAACGGAGGATCCTGCTCCGCCAGCCGTTGCCTGTGTCCTGCTGGGTTCACTGGCGTGTTCTGTGAGATCCCGCTGGACGTCTGCGAGCCCAATCCGTGCCTGAACGGAGGCCGGTGTGTTAACGGGATCCGCTGCTCCTGTCTGCCGAGATTCACCGGCCCGTCCTGTGAACTGCATGTCAAGAAGCTGAAGATGAAGCCCCGAGTTAAAGCTCAGCACTTCTCGGCTCCGGCGCTCCACAAGCTCCTCCGGCCGGTCCCGGTGTCCAGTCCGCTGGTGACCCGCAGCCAGATCATCTGCTTCGCCGTTCTGGGTCTGCTCACCTGCCTGGTGGTGCTGGTGACCACGGGCCTGATCTTCTTCCCTCGCTGCGAGGTGTGGGTCGCCAACCGCAGGTACAGACGGCTGGTTCAGGAGAACCAGAGGAACCTCCTCCAACACGCGCCCGTCAACATTATCCTGCCGGAGAAGACCCGACTCAGCCCCCACGGGCCGCACTACACCTCCATACGGCACACCGCTGACCCTGTTCTCTGATCAGCGGCAGGATTACAGGCTTCTATCAGATGCACTTATTGTTGAAATACATGCATATATACAAACATGAGAATGTGAGGCTAACATTCAAAAGCCATCGGTCTTTTATAAACACATTAGTTTCTATTAAGTTATACATTATTATACTTTTTTCTACTCTCTTAATTAATGTACTGCTAAATGTATTATTTGCTTATTTATTTCATTTTTAATCAATTTTATTTTAATCTAGAACACTCATTTTATTAATGCATTTTAATCTAATTTATTTGCTTGGTTTAATCTTATTATTTATTGGATTTGTTTATTACTAATCTATGTTCATGTTTTAAACACTCGATTTATTCATTTATGTATTTTAATTTAATTTATACTTAGTTTAATCTTTTAATTTATTTAATTACTTTTTAAAAACTTCTATTTATTTATTATTTATTTACAACTAGTATATTTTTATACATTTATGTATTTTAGTCACATTTATTTACTTATTTTCTTATTTATTTATTTAATACATTTTTTTAATATTTTTTTTAATTTTTAAATAAAGAAAATCTCTCTCTCTTTCTCTCTCTCTGTCTCTCTCCCTCTCTCTCACTCTCACTCTCACTCTCTCTCTCTCTCTCTCTCTCTCTCTCTCTCTCCCTCTCCCTCCCTCTCCCCTCTCTCTCCCTCTCTCTCTCTCTCCCTCTCTCCCTCTCTCCCCCTCTCCCCTCTCCCCTCTCTGTCTCTCTCACTCTCTCTCTCCCTCTCCCTCCCTCTCCCCTCTCTGTCTCTCTCCCTCTCTCTCTCTCTCTCTCTCTCTCTCTCTCTCTCTCTCTCTCTCTCTCTCTCTCTCTCTCTCTCTCTCTCTCTCTCTCTCTCTCCCTCTCTCCCCCTCTCCCCTCTCTCTCTCTCCCTCCCCCTCCCTCTCCCTCTCTCATTCCAAAGGCCAGTGAAATAGATGTTGTTTTTCCAGTTTCTCTGCCGTCCTGAAGCAGATGAACTGTGATTACTCTCATGTGCTTCACAGATTCTTTTACTTTTCATGCACATATTTTAATGTGAACAGATGATTAATGTAGCACTAAATAAACCAGTATTTATTGATGTAGACTTCTAATACTCATTCTCAAGTGATGATTACATGCTGTCTTGCCAATATGGTTTTGCATTTTAGTTAAAAAAAAATATGAAAAGAATGACCTTCTGGGAAATGTCGTTGTTGATTGTGTTGTCAGAAATCATAATTTGTTTTCCTCCTGAAATATAGATGTTCAGTGACGGACGGTCTCTGCCGCCATCTAGCGGTGACACTCGCAGTTACGCGGATGACCGCAGCGCAAGCACTTTTCCTTCCTCGTCATGCATCACGTGACGCGGCAGTGATAATGGCGGTAATTCTGCGTGTGTCCAGCAGGGGGCGCGATACAAACACGAGCTCTCCTCTTCATCTCAGCTAAATTAATGATTTAAATTAACAGTTGATTTGATGGATCGTTGCTCCCAACGTTCCTGATTCCAACAATCATATTGCTTGTATTGTGTTTACTGTAGATTTTACAGCAGTGTTCACACTGTCAGTCTGATCTAATGGCCTATGGAAGCACGTGTATGCCACAGGGGAAACACGTGCCTCGGTAAGTCATAGTCAAGTCCAGAAATTACTAGAAAAAAAAGTTTTAAAAAAATCGAAATTGCGATGTTTTCTGTCATAATTTCGGCTTCCTCAGTCTCGTTTTCCAGCACAAATATCTAAACATTCCTAAATCAAGATACTTTTACTGGAGATCCGCAATAACTGAAGATATTAAGTCTAAAGAAAAGCTTAAAGAAAAAATCGTCAAAATTAAATGAGCTTATGCTAAAAACAAGAACAAATATCTTGTTTTCCCTTTGAGTTTATTTTTCCCAGTGGCAGATGTTTTTTGTGTCATTTTAAGCAGAAACTCACTTAGTTTTGATGATTTTTTTCTGAAAATAAGACTTAATATCTTCTCCAGTAAAAATGTATCTTGATTTAAGATTGTTTAGATATTTGTGCTGGAAAACGAGAGAAACACTGAGGAAGAGCATCATGTTTTGCAGTGCATGATCTTTCAGCGTATCAATAAACCCTGAACACATGACTATATCCACACTGTTCTGTTTTGAGCATTAAGAAATACACGCCAGAGTTTGGCAGACGAGTTCCTGATGCGTGTGGAGAAGAACAGAAGACGAGGAGTGTAACCAGTGTTCATCTCCTGAGTCTCGCATCTCTCCTCAGCGGCTGATGGAGGATGTTAGCAGTAAGAAAGGAAGCTCTCGGCTCTACACTCACCTAAAGGATTATTAGGAACACCTGTTCAATTTTTCATTAATGCAATTATCTAATCAACCAATCACATGGCAGTTGCTTCAATGCATTTAGGGGTGTGGTCCTGGTCAAGACAATCTCCTGAACTCCAAACTGAATGTCAGAATGGGAAAGAAAGGTGATTTAAGCAATTTTGAGCGTGGCATGGTTGTTGGTGCCAGACGGGCCGGTCTGAGTATTTCACAATCTGCTCAGTTACTGGGATTTTCACGCACAACCATTTCTAGGGTTTACAAAGAATGGTGTGAAAAGGGAAAAGCATCCAGTATGCGGCAGTCCTGTGGGCGAACATGCCATGTTGATGCCAGAGGTCAGAGGAGAATGGGCCGACTGATTCAAGCTGATAGAAGAGCAACTTTGACTGAAATAAACACTCGTTACAACCGAGGTATGCAGCAAAGCATTTGTGAAGCCACAACACGCACAACCTTGAGGCGGATGGGCTACAACAGCAGAAGACCCCACCGGGTACCACTCATCTCCACTACAAATAGGAAAAAGAGGCTACAATTTGCAAGAGCTCACCAAAATTGGACAGTTGAAGACTGGAAAAATGTTGCCTGGTCTGATGAGTCTTGATTTCTGTTGAGACATTCAGATGGTAGAGTCAGAATTTGGCGTAAACAGAATGAGAACATGGATCCATCATGCCTTGTTACCACTGTGCAGGCTGGTGGTGGTGGTGTAATGGTGTGGGGGATGTTTTCTTGGCACACTTTAGGCCCCTTAGTGCCAATTGGGCATCGTTTAAATGCCACGGCCTACCTGAGCATTGTTTCTGACCATGTCCATCCCTTTATGGCCACCATGTACCCATCCTCTGATGGCTACTTCCAGCAGGATAATGCACCATGTCACAAAGCTCGAATCATTTCAAATTGGTTTCTTGAACATGACATTGAGTTCACTGTACTAAAATGGCCCCCACAGTCACCAGATCTCAACCCAATAGAGCATCTTTGGGATGTGGTGGAACGGGAGCTTCGTGCCCTGGATGTGCATCCCACAAATCTCCATCAACTGCAAGATGCTATCCTATCAATATGGGCCAACATTTCTAAAGAATGCTTTTAGCACCTTGTTGAATCAATGCCACGTAGAATTAAGGCAGTTCTGAAGGCGAAAGGTGGTCAAACACAGTATTAGTATGGTGTTCCTAATAATCCTTTAGGTGAGTGTATAATGGAGGATGTCCCCAGTGTCAGTCTTTCTGGAGCCGACTCCTGAAGGGCCAGCGCTGTGCCGTCGGGCTCGGCTCACTCCTGGTATTCAGTGAGCAAAACATGTAGAAAATCAACCTTTTTTAAAATACAATTTTTTGTAGTCATGATAGGGTGATGTAATACATTTAAAAAAATATTTTGGTCAAGCTCAGGTAAATAAATGTAACGGTTTATTAAACAAAATAAATGAAATGGATGGTAAAAAATGTCCATCCTGTGACGGATACAAATGCCTAAAACTGAGGCACTTTTGTTCACTTTTTAAAGTCCTACATTATTGACACTAGTAGATTTTCATTGTCAATGAATCTTTAGTGTGTTTGCTTTTTTGTGCTAATTTTAAGAAATTATTGTGGAAAACTGCTTAACAGGGCGGATGTTGAAGGTTGACCACATCACATTTGAAAGATAAAATTTGTAAAAATACACAGTTAAAATAATCAATGATCTCACTCACTTTCCCAAGTTGTTTTCCCTCCAAAAGAGTGCTGACTGCTTTATGATATTATGCCATTTCATTTCTTCCAACTTTCATTTAAAGGTAAATAATCAAAAATAACAGGGTGGATGATCAATTGAGGGACAGGCTAAAAACCTAGATTATAATTGTTAAAATAAATGTAAATTATTCAATTTAATAATTGAAAAAAATATATACATTACTAATATACAATGTAAAAAAAATGAAAAAATCATGTATAGTAAGTGTTGTATTATCCTGCAATTGGGACACAGGACACATGCTGATGCTGGTTCAAAGTGCTGTAAAAATCTCAACTTCAATATGAAATATCATCATCATCTGAAATATCATCATCATCTGAAATATCATCATCCTCTGAAATATCATCATCATCTGAAATATCATCATCATCTGAAATATCATCATCATCTGAAATATCACCATCTGAAATATCATCATCATCTGAAATATCATCATCATCTGAAATATCATCATCATCTGAAATATCATCATCCTCTGAAATATCATCATCCTCTGAAATATCATCATCTGAAATATCATCATCATCTGAAATATCATCATCATCTGAAATATCATCATCATCTGAAGTATCATCATCATCTGAAATATCATCATCATCTGAAATATCATCATCATCTGAAATATCATCATCATCTGAAGTATCATCATCATCTGAAATATCATCATCATCTGAAATATCAACTTCAATATGAAATATCATCATCTGAAATATCATCATCATCTGAAATATCATCATCATCTGAAGTATCATCATCATCTGAAATATCATCATCATCTGAAGTATCATCATCCTCTGAAATATCATCATCATCTGAAATATCAACTTCAATATGAAATATCATCATCTGAAATATCATCATCATCTGAAGTATCATCATCATCTGAAATATCATCATCATCTGAAATATCAACTTCAATATGAAATATCATCATCTGAAATATCATCATCATCTGAAA